ATAATAATAAAACAGCGATTATGAGCATGGACAAGCCATCTCTTCCGATCTGCCGTAATCACGATCGGGGGCTGTGTTGTGTCTAAAGGTCGGTGGTCAAGGCCCCCCTGCCAAAAATACTCTCTTTGTTCCTCTCACCTTGGTTGAATCATGAACGTCTCACACACACACATTCCATCGATAGGACGAGCAAAAACGGAATGAATCTTCTGCTGAAACGGGGAAATATACACTGCCACTTTTTTATTTGCTCGTTTCAATCGATCCAAGTAGTGTTAGCTCTTTCTCTTTTTTTTTTTTTTTCTCTCTCTCTCTCACACACACACACACACAGACACACACACACACACACGCACACACACACTCCATCGATAGGATGAGCAAAAACGGAATGAATCTTCCGCTGAAACGTGGAAATGCACACGACCACTTTCTGATTTGCTTGTTCTATCGATCCGAGTAGCGTGTGGCGAGCGGCACGCTTAGCTCTGTGTCTCTTACACACACACACATGTAATAGTAATGTATCTTTCTTGTTGTTTAGCATTAGGTTCATTCATTTATTTTATTTTATTTTATTTATTTGCTTATTTATTTATTTATTTATTTATTTATTTATTTGTTTATTCATCTACCTCGTTTTGGTCGTCGATAGTGTTGGAGAGTGAGCCGCGAGATTGAGGACTTACCTGTTCTCTCTGTCATTCCCTCGTCGTCGTCGTGGTCAACACTCGATGTTCCCCGTTGTATCACGCTGCAGTATACGGGGCATGACAGGCGCAAACACGCTTTCCAATGAAGTTGAGCTGACGACGATCCCACCTCATGAGGTTGTCGGCCTCGATTGCACGGTCAGGTGAGTGGTCCTTCCCCTCCTCTCTCTATCTCTTTTTCTCCTCCTTCTCCTCCTTCTCCTCCTTCTTCTTCACTGTTTCTACTCCCACACGCTATCTCTGCAGCCTTGCGCGCCTCGTCTCTCTCTTCTCGCTCCGCGCTACTTTTCTTCTCCTTCTCGCGCTCTTTTTCCTTCTCCCTATTCCTCTCCTTCTCCCTCGTCTCCTCTTCCTCCTCCTCCTCCTTCCTCTTCTTTCTCTCTATTTCTTATTCGTCCTCTTCTTTTTTTTTCTCACTTCTTCTACTTCTTCTTTCAACCTTTTTCCCCGCACGCCTTCCTTCTCTGCGCAACCATCTTCGCGTGCGCCTCCTTTCTTTACCGTAGCATCCCTCCTCCTTACGTTCCCCACGCCTTCTTTGTCTGCGCGGCCATCTTTCTTCGTTATTCCCCCGTGCTTGTTTCTTCGAACATCCGCACGCATACCCCCTCATGCTCCCTGCGTTCCTCTACGACGGCGATCTCTTCTGTGTCCAGCGTGATCGAGATCAAGGCGGGGTTCATTTGCAACAAAAAAAATGTTTTTTCTCTTTATTACTGAACTTTTTCCAATTCTATTGTAGATTCACGGACGTGAAACTATGATAGAATAAATTGGGGATAAAAAGAAAAATAAATAACAGTAAACGAATCTAACTAATAAAAAAAAAAAAAAAAAAAAAAAAAAAAAATTCTACTACTAACTACCCCGTCGTGCCAACTGTCACAACGGGGTCTAACCATGACTAAGCTCTGATTTAGGGGTGATGGGTTCGAGTCCGACTGCCCGAGCGCGGGTGAAAAAGTTGTGGAGTAGCTCAGAGGCCGGTCGGGTTCGTTCCCTATATCCTACACTTAACAGTCTTGCACCTGAACCTACTGAGCTAGCTCCTACTTTGTTTAAGAGAGGAGCTGCTCAGATATATGTAGGGCATTGGGACTTCAGATAATCCTGTTTTCTAAGTCTATGTGTGTGCCCTTTTGCTGGTCTATGTGCCTGACTGAGCACCTGTCGGTTTTGAGAGTGTGTGCGCCCCACGAGGGCACTTGATTCAACGGAAAGCCCAAAGGGTCAGTACTTACCTGTGACCATGACATTGAGGGTTGCGGTAGGGAAAATAATCAAGTAGCGGGTATGCCGGTACCACACCAGTAGAGGTAGATGTGCGGGGCACTTGAGGCCGCGCGAAGGAAGACAACAGTTTGCATTTTTTAGAGGCCCAACACCGGTCGTTGCCGCTTAGTGTGTTGGTGACACATTTCTATTGGCCGTGCGGCCGGGGCTATTATCATTATTCCCGTCTGCTTTCGAGTTTACGACGGCGCGACCAGCAGATTTTCCCGTACCTTTCGGTCCGACGCTTCTGGACTAGATCTAATTCGTTTTCCCCTTACCGCCTATACTTCTGACTGAGCTAGATCACGGTCGACGCACCCTGCACGACCTTTTCTTGTTCTCTTCCAATCCTCCGGCCCTTGCAGTCGGAGACTTTTAATTTATTTTTTTTTACTAACCCCCACCTGTTTTCATACACGTCGTATCACTGGGCATGGCCACCGAGAAACTTCGGCCTCAATGATCGAGGATTTCGCTTCACAGCGTCCAGTCGAAAAATCCCTCACTTTTGACTCCTGACTGTCCCCAGTATAGTGACCGATGTAGATATTGTATCGAATACAAAATCATGAGCAAATACCCTTGTAAGGGTGTTTGCTCCGACAGCGCCTTAAAGCTTGCACGCCCACACACTCTCTGCTCTAGTCAACCATCTAGTCAGCGCGATTCCCAGACGCAACCGCGCCCTGCCCGGAATCCTTAGATTTTAAACCAACTTATTTTTCTTGTTGCTTGCAAAAACCAGGGCGGATACCCTTGTGAGGGTATTCGCACCGACAGCTTACCGGACCATATTAAGCGACGTCCCCGTCGCTTCGCAGAATCAAGAAGCTATAAATCCATTCACAATTCCAAATGCTGACGAGAAAAGAACCAATATGATTAGCCGACAGATTGAGGGTTGAGGCCTCCAACAATCCAAACTCTTATAACTATATGCCGCCAGGGTTCCAACCTGGGTCTCCATTGTCCTGACATTAGGACGCAGGTGTACTGGACATACGTACTACAGCATAAGTCTTAGCGACCCCTTTCAACTGCCCTCTCCCCTTTGTCCTAGACAAACGTCCGCTTCTCGTTAAGTGTCCCCAGCCTCTACCCTGCACGCGAGGTCATAACCAGGGACGCGGGCCTTAACCGAGACCTTTAAAGGTACTCTTGCCTTCCGCCAATAATTCTCGCAATCAAACATCATAGATTCTTCCTGCAGTCTAGTACAGGAAGGTCGGGTCTCCATCCTGGCCCACCATAGTCTGGGTGATCATGCCAGATCTACGGCTCACCGCGTTGTTATTTTAGCGGTAGTGCCCTCGTAGGTTACGCCATGATAGGCTTTCTCCTGATAAGCATTCAATCAGGACCCAAAAAGACTCTACTTGACTCTTATCTCACGATGTTCCGCAGGAGTAAAACCCACATAGGTGGTCACACCCCTTTAAGTCTTTACTCCCTTGGCAAGACGTAGGTCCGTTGTTCAGGTTACGCCGATCAGCAGCCGACACTAGGGGTTGCGCCCTAGTGATGCTAAACTTTACCGTTAGCTTGGTATTCTCATAAATGCCCCAAGATTAGCCCAAGTGGCTGGACGGTGCGTCGTAACAAAACATGTCCACTGCGGGACTACACAAAGGTGTGCCACACATAAAAGATATTTACCAGTCCTCTGTGGAACAACACAGAGAAACACGACAACCTCTCCACATTCACAAAACAGAAATCACCTCCAGACCCACAAGGTCGTAACTTCCCTACTTGATCAGAGCAAGAAAGCCACCTCTCAGTGACACCTCCCAAACAAATCACTTTTGCGACCTTCAAAATTTCACCAATGGCCAAACAAAAACTTGGTCCTTCTCGTCAGACTTTATCATTGAAATCCGTTTTTCATGTCATTAAATCTATTAACCACCTTTCATATGAAAGAGGTCTCTCTCAATGGGTCTCTCAGTCATCCTTTCTCTTTTCAAGATGAACTCCCATGCAACATTTTATTACAACATCTTCCCTCTCTGAAGATGAGTCTCCAATTAAGCACAAGACTGTCTTCCTTATCTGGGGATGTCTCAACCATAAAACAACTCAAACCGAGAGACCAACTTATGAGTCCTCATCACAACTCAACAATAAACATTCGGCATGGTAAGCATCCGAGTCTCAAGGACTCATAAATCTTTCAGGATTCTCACACTTTTCACAAAAACAGACTGCACTTCCTCTCCTTATACCCGACCCTATCATGCGCTCATGGGCAGATCGCACGAGTATACCAGTTCACATTCATTCACTCTCACAAAACATACAGTATGTGAGATGTTTCTCATACATCTCCCGCCCAAAATCATCATACATCAGGATAAAACCACACGTGTGAGAGTGATTGTGATCGTCATATACAAAGAGTAGTCTCAAATAGTACTCAACTCAAAGACACACTCAAAGATGAGGTATCTCACCCAAAAAACACACATAATGGTCCAGGTTTATGACTCGCTTGGATCTACCCAAGTCACTCTCAAAATATGGTACATGACCAATCATATAATATAAAAAAAAATGTCACCAAAATATACGATGACTCTGAAAATCAAGATCGAAAACATACATCCTCACTCTCACGTTGCCAAAAAGAAACTCAATGGGGATCGTACGCTGTAATCCCCTATATGTGCAACCCACATCGTAAATGTTTGGTTCCTGGCAGTATTAAGACAGAAAATGACCATACAAACGAGTATCCAATCTGATATATAAAAACTCAACTTTATCTATAATTATCCTAGTGGTTATCTATACCTGGGCAAACCAGTCCCTACTCACTCATCTCCTCCTGGTTTTGCCTATATAATTGTGCTCTACCCCCATCAGCAGATCTCTCTACCGCTCGGCCCTGTCTATCATACATCTTTCTTGCACTCTCTGAGACCTTTCCTTCCGCCTTGTCCTTAAGGAACTTAGGACACTCGAGGGTCCAATGTAAGCCATTCTTGCAAAAGAATCAGAGTTGATCAACCTTCCTTTTAAATTTCTTTGTTCTTGGCCGCGGCGGAGGTGACGATGGGGATCCAACCACAGTGCTGGCGACCTTCTGTTGCTCTGACTCAGGGGCATGCTCCCCAGAACCGGATCCAGTAGCCCAAGATCCTAGCCTACTCCTCAGATTACCCACCTCTGGAACATACTCAGGCGTATCCAATCTTTGAGGCCTGTTTTCCCGCCTTTCTTCTGATACCACTACTGGCAACTCCTCGCCTACATTCTTAGTACCCAACTCAGCCATAGGTGTGCTTGCTTTCTCCTGCATGGTGTTAAGTGCCTCTAGAAGCACACCCATGGTTCCCTCCATTGATCCTTGTGCAGGCTCACTAGCGGCTCCCTATGATCCTTCTTGGCCTGGCAGTGGCGAGGATGTTGGCGGGGCCCCCAAAGGTTTCACTGGTAAGGTCGCGAACTCCGTCGGCGCCTTGAATACGAAGACTTCCTTCTCTGCCTCCCTTTTTGCCTTAGCCTCTTCTGGTTCCAAGATGACCTTTCCAATGGATGGCCCCTGGGAAGGTCCTGCCTCAGATGGTCGCCCAGGTCCATGAGCCACCTGTTCCTGAGTGTCGTATAGCGCCCCTTTTGTCTGGTCCACTACCTTCATGGACGCCACCTCCTTTTTCCTTTCCTCCAACAGGTCCTTAATGATAGCGGTCTGACAGGTTGCTAATGCCCTGAGGTCTTGGACCTCTGCCTCCAATGCTTCCAGGCGCACCCCATGACCTTCTTCCTTTACCTTCTTCCCTGCCACGTCACCCTCCAACATCAAGTACCTATCGAAGCTCGTCCTGGCCAAAAACCGGATTCTACAATCCAAAGTCTCTTCTGCCTGCCTGGCTACCCTGAAACTAGCTCTCGTCGGCAACGTGAGTGCTTTAGCCCTCTGTTCCCAAAATTCTTTCCACATGTCTGTACCCTGAAACCGGATTCTGGAATCCCTGGGGCTTTGGCCGGTATGCTGGGTGGTTGGTCTGGAAGTGCCCCTGCTGCCTCCAACCTCTGCCTCTCCTACCATATCTCCTCCAGACGTTTGCCTACCCTGACCCTCTTCTCCTCAGCAGTTTCCCTAGGATGTGCTCTCCTTGCTACAGGGTGGATTATATCCGATGGGGCCTCAGGTTGCGCTTCCATTGGTGGCGGATGAGGTTCCTACAACGGCTCTCCCACTGGAACCTCCTCCAGATCAGGGTGTTTCGCAACGTGTGCTGCCAGATACCTGTCCACTTTAGAGACTGCCTCCCTCCTCCAATCTGTCTCTTTCAGCTCTGTCTCTACTCTCACTTCTGGCGATTGAGTCGCGTCTGGAGGTAGTGGTGGTGTCTCTCCTCGCTGAGGCTCTCCGCCCTCTTCTTGAACATCCATTGGCTCTGCATCCATTTCTGGAGTCGGGGTTTGCCATTGCGGAGGGGTATCCTCTCCTATCTCGATCACTTCCTCTGCTTGCTGTTCTCTCTGGGCGCAGGGCCCGGCTCCCTGGCCTCCACTGGACTGAGGCACCTCCCACTGCGAGGCGTCCAAGTGTGCTTCCAGGCTCTGTAGAGAACCCCCTGTCGGCGCAGCCTCTTCTGACACTTGTTGTGGGGGCTCCTGTAGCCTTCCTTCAGTGAAAGGCTGGAAAGTCATTAGGCCCAGTCCACACTCCGGATACATGCCTGGCTCTTGCGCAGGTGGGTCGGGCTCCTCGTCTCGCGGTGCCAGTGCCTTCCGTCCTCCTCGACTAGGGGCGGTCTCCCTAGGTTCAGATTCCCTCTGTCTTTTACTCCTTTGCTGCCTTTCGACCCTGGGCTGAGGTTGCACTGGCTCTGGCCTCCGAAAGGCCTCCCTCAAGTACGCCCTGCAACCTTCCCAGTCGCGCGCCCCATCGCGGATCTCTCGGGCCAATGGTCTCTCTGCTCCTCTCGACCACAGTGGTAGCGTTTGCATCCATTGGTCCCTCAAGATACCCTGGCCGTGCATAAACCGCTCGAAGGTTGGGATAAACTCCTCCACATTCCTAATCTGGAGGCGGATTGGCTCCCCGTCTACTCCCACCGACGAAGGTATCGGCCTTTGCATTGCCTGCTCCACCTCCTGCCAAGTCCTCGCCTCCTCACGGATCCGCGCAATGGGCTCTGCGAAGCGTCCTCTTACCCTCAACCTCTCAATCATGCGGGTTACAGTGCACCTCCTGCGACTCGCATAGCTCCAAAAATTGCCCAAAAAGAGCTTTATGTTCCCATCGTCATACTCTGGCGTATGCTCCATCTAGTATGATCCGTGTCGCTCATGTCCCCCTGATTCCCCCGAAGGTCTCCTTGATGGCTGCATCTCCCTCCCTCCTCTTGGCATGGCTGTCTTCGCAAAGTCAGACCTGCACAACAGGCGAAAGGGGACGATGGACACACAAAGGAGTAAGCATACAGGTGGGATACAACAGGCTTAGGTCAAACCATACATACACATCCAAACGCTATTCCTAACTCTTCTATCCTACTTAATAACCTTCACACTCTTCCTATCAATTAGATACTGCGATGGGGTTTTATGCCTCTTATCTCACCTCTTCTCTGCCTACAAATTTCTTGAGTCGGGTTCCTGACACCCAATCCTTCCACTCTGTCCCATCCAACTCTTCAATCTGGTAAGCGCCAAACTCTCTGCATCGTACAATTCGATAGGGCCCCAAACACCTTTTATCGAGTTTTCCGGACCACTGTTTTTCCAGAGATGAGTCGTATAATAATACGACGTCTCCTACTTTCAAAGGCATCTTCCGCACACGCGTCGCTTGGTCCCAACGAGGCTTATCATCCATGCGACTCTTTTCTACTTGACTTGATGCCTCATGAATCCTCTCCTCGATTGCCCCACCTGTCGTGCCCGAATGTCAAGCAATTCTTCAAAGGACAGGTTGGTCTCTAGATCCTAGCGCCTCCAGGTTTTCAGGAAACTCTCAATTGGAAACGTAGCATGCCTTTCATACCATAGCGTAGCTGGTGCATACTTGGTGATCCTCTTCACCGTGATATTCTCGACAAAGAATGTCGCTCTCAGGTATCTTGGCCACTAACTAGGTCTACCTTCAGTCCACTTAGCCAGCAGGTTCATAATGGTGTTATACCCTCGCTCAACTGGAGCATTGGCTTGTGGATGGGCGACCGTAGTATAGTTAGCCACCACACCATACCCTTCTAATAACTCCCGCACCTCCTGGCAAGTAAACTCTGATCCCCTGTCCATCACGAACTCTCGGACAAAGGGATAACGTAGGTAGTACTCCTCAACACAACTCACGAGGACCAGACCGGTTTTTGTACGAATGGCCCGACCATCCACAAAGTCAGTGAGGTTATCTCGTGCATCGAAGATATAGTTGTAGTCATGATCCCCGATCGGCATGAATAGCAAGTCGAGGTGTACCATGACCCCTACTTCCCTTACCAATATCGGATGCAAAGACTCCCCTGACCTTAAGGGAGATCTCTCCTGATAGGGCACGCAGGATTGACAATACTTAGATATCATCTTCATCATCCTATCCCAGTAATATAGCTCGCTTATCTTAGTATACGTGGCATTTACCCCTCGATGTCCTCCTGCAATGCCATCGTGAAGCGCAACTATCACGTCTATCTGGCGATTCCTTCCATATACGACCCTTCTTGTGTTCCCTACTTGCGTTTTTACAAAGAGATGACCATCTCTCACCAGATAGAGGTGCTTCATCCTCTGGCTCTTTCACTTGCATCCCTAGTTTTTATCTCACATGATAGCAGAAGCCGCAGTTCCAGGTACATTCCATCATACTCCTCTGCGCGGAAAGCCTCTTTGATTGCTCCGTCTTCAAACTCGTCATCCTGGCTTTCTGGCACAGCATCTTCACCTTCAGCCGGATTTAACGAGCCTATCAGATCAGAGGGTTACTACAGAAGTGTATTGACGAGGAGGTACATTGCTCCCATCAATTCCTTGTGCCTCCTTACCCGGTCTGGACCTTCCTCTATCGTCCTTATCTCTTCCAACAGACAATGATTGCCTACGAGCGCCAGCTTCATCATCCATTGGACGTCCTTGCCACCCTAAGGGTCCTCCTCTTCAAAAGGTTTGAGTACCAGTTCAGCCTTCTGTTCATATCCGTTTGGCGCATGCCAAATGGGATGACCAGCGCAGTTAGGCACTCGCGGAGACCACTCATTAATATGAAGGCGGATGTCTTCCTCCTGGTCCAAAAAGCCATCAATTGGGGGCGTATTTTCTACTGCCTCCCCTTCTTGCTTATCCCAGTTGGTGCGACTTAGCCCATCTGCTCTATTCTTACTCCCCGGTATTCGCTCCAGCTCAAAGTTGAACATCTAGATATATGTTAGCCACCTGACAACCGTTGGATCTGATGGAACGTAGTTCCTTAGGGAAAAGGTTAGAGCAGTCGAATCCACCCTCAATATGAATCTTCTATCAAAGATGTAGTTTCGAAAAATCCATAGGCAGTGAAGGACAGCGAGAGTCCCTCTCTTGAATTGAGAGTAATTTTTCTCCGTCGTACACAGTGTTCGGCTCTCAAAGCGCAATGGTCTTTCCTTCCCTTTAATATCTGCCTGGATCAGAACTCCACCCAAAGCAGTTGGCCCAGCATCTGTCTCAACAATGAATGGCCTCACCTCCGTGGCGTCATAGTTCGGCGCTCCTAATACCAATTCTCCTTCCCGAAACTCCTCCTTCATTCCTATCACCGCCTTCTCCTGATCTTCACCCCAAACCCACTCCTGATTCTGACGAACCAACTTCCTTAATTGCCCTGTCTTGGCAGCAAAGTTTTTGACGAAGGTCCTCCAAAATCCACACGTGTCGAGGAAGCTCCTGACATCTATTATCGAATGGAATGACACCGGTCATTCGATAATCTTGTCCGTCTTCTTAATGTCTGACCGTCGGTCATTCTCACTACAGACGAATCCCAAGATGGTAGCTTCCCTCATGCAATGCCTGGATTTGGCTCCACTGCCGCAAGGTTATGTCCTTCAAACAAATTTAGGATTTTTTCAAGGTCCTGAACATGCTTCCAGACAAAGCGCCTTACTCCTGGCAAAACTTCATCGTCCTTTCTTTTTCTCGGTCCCTTTACTGCCAAGTCGTCGATATATGGCTACGTCACAGACTAACTGTTTGCATGACTCGAATCATATGCCTCTGAACCATTGCTACAACATTCGTTCAACCTTGTGGAGTGACATTCATATGGATAAGCCCTCGAGGCATATGCATTGTTGTTGTTGGTCTGTCTGGTGGATAGACCGGAAACTGGTCATATCCGGAATAAAGGTCAATGAGTGAGATTATTGGTATCCCAGCACATGACTCCGACAGCGCATCTACATTTGGCAAGCCTTCTGCATCCCGCACAGTCACAGCATTCAGCCTTTGCAAATTTGGTACCCATCTCAACGTCCCATTAGGCTTGATGAAAGTTCATGAAACAAAACCACGGCTCACGGGAACACGTAGGGTCCGCTTGAATAATCGGCGACATGCTTGTGTATTTTGCCATCGAGGTAATCTACCACCTTCTTCTTTTCGTCAGGATTAGGATATTGCGCCCCTCTTAAGTTCCATGGATCATGTGGCATGGTATGGATGCGAATCATATAAATTTTGTCTACATCCAACCTGTCACGCTCCTCATCGCTAAATGCATAGGCGCGATGCCTTTTCTTCATCAACTCTATCATTAACGCCCTTTCTCGGGGCAGTTGGAAATCAAGTTCTCCCACTATCAACTTCCCTTCGTTGCCCTCGTTGATACAGCATGGCCCTACTGAGGCGTTCTCCTTCATCTGCCGTATGAAAGTTTGTTCCCGCTCGTAATATACCTCCTCATCTTCGGTAACGAGAACAGGAACTGGGCGACACTTTTTATCTATCGTCTTGTACCGCCTTTGGGAACCCTGTTTGAACCGTCCCCTAAAAAAAAACGACTAACCGTCTGCGCCTGCGCCTGCGTCATAGAAAGGTCCCTTCTCCCCCTTGGAAACCGATAAACCAACTCTATCTCCCCTGCTTGGGGATACTCCAGGAATTGTTCCCTCAGCGCCTGAATGACGCCTGGATCCGCCATTTAATGCGTGGTCACTATGTCCATGACTTTATTCACATCAGACGGGATGAGTGAGAACGCTTCCTCCCTTACTTCTCCTTCACGCTCCGCCATAAGTTTTCGGCGCTCGTCCTCTGACTCTTTAATAGTGAAGGAACCAAGGTTGGACCTATTTCTTATGCTCCGCGGTCCAGTGTTTTGGCAGGTAATTACCTCGTAATTCCCACATGCTGGATCACATAAAATCAGGATCAGCGACCCATCATGTTTGTTGAGCATTAGGGTCTCTGTCCTACATAAAAATGATCTCCCCAGGAGAATGTCATGGTCCACGTCTGGCATTACGAAAAAGCAAGTCCTGGTTTTTACTCTTCTGATCTCTAGGAGCACATTCAAGGCGGTCCCGCAGAACAAGACCTTGCAGTTTGCCCCGTAAAAAATGCCGCAATCTGAACGATCTATTTCCAGCCCAAACCTGAGTGTGTCATCTTCGCAGATAATATTCATCTCTGCTCCCGTATCCACAATCGTTGCGCACTTGGAACCTTTTACCAATAAATCCACCATTCCACAGGCCACACATTTCCAGTCCATCTTCGTTCCCTGGTTCGCCCACTTCACTTCCTTAGGCAGAATCACACTAAGATGAACGCTGGGCTCCGGACGCCTCGAAACCCTACCCCTTAGCTCATTACGGAGCCTTGGGGTGGACGCTAGAATCTCTTTCAGGGTCATAAGATCATTATGGCCCTTAAGCAGCCTGTCGATCATCCTTTCCACATCAAAACCTTCCTCAAGCCGGACCGAGTATTTCTTTTTTATCGGCGTACTATCGCGCAAGACTGGTTTGACTGCCTCCCGAGAACCCCTCTTCCTTGCCCTTTGTTCGACCCTCCGGTCTTCCTCTTGTCGAAGCCTCTCATCCTCTTCATCTTCATCATCATCGTCCTCTACCTCCACACGCTCATTTATGCGTTCTGGCTACGACTCTCTCTGAGGCGGTTCCTGGCTTGCCCCTGCCTTTGTCTGTCCTCTAGTCCGTGCGGCCAATGCGGATCGATTCAAGACCTGAATCATAAAGGAAGACCTTAGGGATACTAACCTTCCAGCTCTCTACCTCTTCACATATATCCGTCAATTTTTCACAGTATTATTATTTCTTTCATTGTTTTACAATTTTTTTTTTACACTGAATTAAATGATAAAAATAAAAAACAAAGATACATTGAAATCATTTAGTTTCTCAGTCTTCTTAACGCTCCTCCACTATGCCTCTAACGTACACAACTCACCACGTTGATGAAGTTGAGCGCGAGCTGCCCCCATCCCCGTATGCCATAACAGCCCACTTGCACGCTATGGGAAAGAGGCAGAGTGAAGGAAGAGGTGTTAAACACAAGGAAGAGAGGAGCAGAAAAGAAAAACCGATAGGCAGAGAGAAAAAAAACAAAAAAAAGTGACCCAAACATCTTCTTTCTTTCACTGCATTCTTCTTTCTTTCACAATTTTGTGGTTTTGGTGAACAGTCTACCACGTTCGCTTTTCAGCGCACCTGC